GGCTCATGGTTCCATCAAAATCAGCTACTGCACTTCACATCTAGGCCATCCAATCAAAGAATAGATCAAAAATCAATCAACTTATGATTCTTGTTTTATTGATTTTTACAGCAGAGTATTACCAAAAAATTTTTCTTTTAGAAGGCTGCAAAAAGAACTGACAAGGAACAATCCATAGAAACCAATAACAAAAGCACAACAGAAAGGGCTTGAACTGAAACAATCAACAATTTCTTGTTTGCTTTCAGTAGAACTATCACTTCCAACATTGATAACCTTGATAAAAGAAAGAAGGTATTTCGATTGTGACGAGATTCGATTAAAACTGGCAAAGAGATTGATCTATAGAGAGTCGACAAAAAGATAAAGGAAAACAGAACAGGATTTTTGCCAGAAACTAGACCAAATAATTTAATTTGGTAAGAAAAAAGCCAAATAATTTAATTTCGCCAGAAAAATAGAACATATAAAAGGACGGTTGATATAGGGATCCGAAATTTTCTCATTTATTTCAACGCTGCTGTCAAATTTATTATAAGCAACTCAAATGGAGCAAAGAAACGTGAGACGCCTTTAAATTGATTCGTTTTACAGTTAAATATTCCAGACAAGGAGTCTTCAAGCTTCGGAAAAATCTTATGGGAGTTTCCACAAAGATATTCTCGGACAGAAAAGGCTTTTGTTGAAGAACCTAGAAATGTTGGATCAGATCATGACGGTATTTTTGAAAAACTTGAAAAAACAAAAGCTTTCTTCAGGATCTAGAGAGAAAGGCGAAATCAAACTGGGAAAATAGTTTGAGGAGGATCTTCTCCGCGAAGAAATTGATGTTTGAGGATAATCTTCTCCGCGGAGAACTAGGTGAATCTTCAGCTGACCGTACAAAACTCCTAGAAACCCTTGACCGATTGGTAACACAAACCGAGATTTCCATAAAAGAATTGAAGGTAAATCAAAAGTTTTGTTTAGATTTTTTTTAGTTAAAAACTTTTCAGGATCTAGTTGCTGATGGAAAGATATTTGGGGAACATTCTGACGTCAACCCAGCCAGTGATTTGGATAGGTCAGTTGGTCCGAAAATCGCTGACATTGTCTTTCCCAAGCTCAGGCTAGACGAGACTGTTGATGAAGAACCTCTAACTACAGGTGAAAAAAGAATGCTTCCAGAAATAACTTGATTTTTAGTTGCCAAACTTGAAACTAGTAACGATGTTGCTAAAGTGAAAGCTGGAGGCCTAGAGTCAAAACCGAACCCGGGAAATAGAGCTCATCCAAAAGAAGATTTAAACCTACCGCTTGAAAATGTTAACAAGCTTTCACAACTTGAAGGAAGTGAGTCAGCTATTGAAATGAAACTTATGGATGATGATTATGAAATCGTTGACTTCAATGGACTACCCAACAAAGAGGAAGAACAAGAGGTGACAACAAACTTACCTTTGACCGCGATTTCAAGGTCTAGATGGCTAACTCATCCAATCCAAAGCCCAACTTCTGGTCAGTCAAATCAAAATCCGAACAATCAAGAGGAGTTGACCATCAACGAAACTACGGAAGAGCGTGCTTCTAATGATCAAGTAGAGAACGATGATAAGCCAAGTGAACAACCAGAAACCTTCCCTGCCAAAGTATCTTTGTTAAGTGACTTTGAAAATAATCTTCCTTCAGAGCTAAAAAGCTCTCCACCAACTCCCATTTTATCAACTAAAGAATTGCTCACAAAAACTCTATTACCTCAAGCCGAATCAAGTGGCCGAGCCAAAGATGAAGAAATTGCGAAATGTGAATTTTCTTGCGCAAAAAATTTCTTTCGCAATCAAGAAAGACAATCGATGCGCAAAACAAAACCAGAAGATTTGGTGCAACGAAAAACACCAGCTGAAATAGAGAAGATTAGGAAAAAATTTGTGAAGGCTGAACAGATAAATGAGGCTATTTCAGAAAATAAACAGAAGAATGACTGCACTGAAGAAAAGCCGATTGAAGAAGTTGATAAAGTAGGGATTGAAGCTGAAGAAGAAGCGGTTATATGGGCTGAATTGAAACCACTGATCGATCAAGTTAAAGATTTGAAACAAAATCCAGAGAATCAAGAACAACTTGTTCAAGTTTTCGAGCGAATTGACAACTTAAATAAAAAGGTATGATAATGAATCCTTATGAAATCAAAAAGTTCCGTTTAGTTGTGGAGTTCGGTCAAACGAGCAACGTAAAGTTTAAGCGTTTACTTAACCGAAAAATTGCACAAAAAGGATTTATTAGGCTTACTTTCTTTGCTAAGAACATGGTTTAATTTATTTTGATTGTGATTTGCTTGTTTTTATTGTTTAACAATGCCTGGTATATTTAAGAACATTCTGTAAAGCTTAAATATAAAGTGGCAGGTTTGCTTTAGTCGTAGATTGATGTTTAGGAGCAAAATAATTGATATATATTATATCTCGGCTGCTTTTTACCGGCCCTTTTCGTGTTATGTGTATGAATTCATGTGTTTTAATCTTAAATCTAGCGCACTTTATCTCAGGTCCTGAATAAAGTATCTATATATGAACCAAAATTACCGTTACATATAAAAAAGTCTCTGTATAAAAAGCAACTCAAAAGGTCAAAGATTTTTCTTAAGAATAACTTTTATTGTCTCATAACAATTCATAAAAACTATTCCTTTTCAAACAGATCTCCGATAGCTTTTACACAGGCGTCCAAACGTCGTAGAAAAGCGCCGATCGTGGCGAGAAGGTATAGGAGATCCAACTCTTCCCAAGCCTTTTCGAGCGCTTTTTTCAAACTATCAACAGTTTTGTGTGGTTGATTGCGTCAACTGATAGTATTTGTGATTTATTTTTCTTGTAGGCCTTTAACATGAGCTTGTTTTTGATGATTCTTCTAAGGGATGTTCGCTCTGTATCCCCATTTTTTTTTGACATTTTCCGCACCGATTAGTTTGGCGTTTTCAACAGGCGATTCCTCACTTTTCTTTTGACATTTGCTGAAGTTGTTACCGTTCGCTTTCTTCCATTTTGCTTTTGCATTTGTGCGTGAGTGAGCATTGTAACGGTAATTTTGGCCCACCCTGTATATTACTAAATGATCATAATATGTAGAACAAAAATGTTCAAAAAGCATTTCAAAGGGTGAAATGCTGGGGAAATATAATTGAAAATACCGAAATTGCTCGCATTGATCAGTTTTCTCTTTTTTATTCAGCTGGATTCACACAATCCCAACTGGAATTAAACTGTGATTCTCTTTATTCAAAAACAAGCGTCAACACGCAGAAGGCTTAATAGAAAAACGCGACCACTTCATTCAATCGACAATCACAATCAATTAACAAATAATATTTGACAGTTTTACCGATTCGACGGTTTTTGATGATTACTCGAGCACAAACGATATTTAAAAAAGCCCCAATGATTGCTGAATAAAACATTTTATAGTTTGATTGGTACTGTGTTTTTCGTTTCACCAAATCTTCTGGTTTTGTTTTGCACATCGATTGTCATCGATCGAATAGCCCCACCAATATCTTCCCCATCGCCACCCGTAGATTCACTTGATCATTGATAGTACTCTTTTTGGGTAATCCATTCCATTCATAAAAGAAATCGGGGTAATGCTCTGGGTACTCTGGGTACTCAATCAGTACTGTAGACACAAATTGTCGGATCCCATTCGAACTCACTATCAATTGAAACTGATCGAAAAGAGATCATAGAATGACCCAAATGGAGTCTTTATCATAAAGAAGTCTTGACAAGGCAAATTCGCCAGACACCTTCAATGTGCTCAACTGGGAAGTAGTTTGGTTAGTTTGAAACTTGAACTTGAGTGACTTTCCATTACGGCTCAACCAAAATTGTGATTGGCGATGTCGATGATGACCCAAAGGATCCACAAAAGAATAATCCTTTATACGATCCAAGAAACTAAACAATCAAATACTTATCTTGTTCTGCGCCTAAGGAATTGTTCTACATACAGAAGAAAAAGGAAAGCGTAGACTTAATTTTAAGCAAACCATAATTTGCCAAATCTGAAACCGGCAATTAGTGTTGTCAAAGAATAACTGGAGCAAAGACATTTCACTCTTTGAAATGCTTCGTGAAAATTTTTGTACTACATATTATGATCATTTAGGAATCAAATAAAACATCAACACTTGCTCTTTTTGGTATTGGGTATTGTAAGTAGGTAATTCACTTGACTAGGTTCTTGTCTTGTCTAGGTGTCTTGCCTAGGTTCTTGTCTAGGTATCTTGTCTAGGTGTCTTGTCTAGGTTCTTGTCTAGGTATCTTGTCTAAGTTCTTGTCATTGATTCTTGTCAAATCAAAACACAGCAACTTCAAATCAAAGCACAGCAATTTTGAAATGCTTTCAAAATCTCAAGTTTTCTCGTTTTCCCAAAAGAAATTTCCTAACCGGCCACAGAGCAACAATAAAAAACAGGCAAACTATTCATCCGGTTGGATTTAGCCGCGAAATTTGACTAAAAATCAAGCGGACAATGAACGACCTGAAATCTTTGTCTTTAAAGAAAAAGAGTCTAAATTGGATTATTTTGTTGAGAAGATGGAGAGAAAGAGATAGACTCAAGTCACCCAAATAATCAGTCCGAAGAATTTTTACCGCTCATCCCTCAGATACGGCCGAGAAGGGGAGAAGACCTGAAATTTTAAGCAAAGAGTCTTGTTGAAGGGATATTTGGGGAAAAGGAGACGAAGGATCAACAAAGAGCATCCCATTAGTGAATAGGAAAAAGAGAAAAGAAAAAGAGGAGATCAACAAGTGTAGAGATCTTTGAAAAGGAAAGAATGAATGGAAAGAGGCTGAATTTTGAGATCAAGCATAAGGCTTCTGGTCATTTCTTGCCTTTCCTTCTCTGTTCGAGTGATCATTGCCATTCACCAGCTCATTCTCCTCGTTCATTCATCAGCTCACTCTCATCGTTCATTCATTTCTTGGGTGGGAACACCCGCCGAGTCACGTCTACTCTTGAAATGACGAGAAGATTCAGGATATTTCTGCTGCTTACTTGTAAGTTTACTTGGAAAGATTCAATGCTTACAGTTTTCACTTCGAATCTCTCTAGGAATTCACTCAATTTAGTGACTTTCCATTACGGCTCAACGAAAATTGTGATTGGCGATGTCGATGATGACCCAAAGGATCCACAAAAGAATAATCCTTTATACGATCCAAAAGAAGGAGTCACAAAGATCAACATCACAAAGGATGTAAATTTCAACTAAATTTTGAACTTTACGAATATTTCTTTTAGTCAGCAATCGAATTGAGACAGCATTGGCTGGAGCAAGCATTTTCTGGTCTGATGGCTGCTGTTGTACAAAAGAAGTGAGTGTTTTGATAACTTAAACAATTGATCCCTACTTTCTTTACACTATTTACAAAAATCTTATTCACAATCGGCTGGTCGCATTTCTAAGAAACTGGATCATGACTGGTTCAAAAATCCTTTTCTCCAAACAAATCGAATTAGCCAAAAAGCAAAAGAACGGCAAAAGTGACAAAAGAACGAACATAACACCTGAATTTCTCAAATATTTAGAACCTCAAAGCTGAAGAGAGAATATCAAGACATTGTTCATAAATGCAGTAAGCAGGTGATCCAAGAAAAATTGATGATCTCTATGATGATCAAATACTTCTAGGCTCATTCCGTGGAGGCGCACGCGAAATGTGTGATGCAAGCGATCGAATTGCACAAAGATCCGAAAAACGCACAAACAAGTAGGTGAAAAGGGAAAAGGAGACGAAGTGCTTGTAAATATTGATCAAGTACCAAATACGAAATCTTTCAGCGACTACCACGACAACAACTACCACCAGATCTACAACAACATCCAACCCCCAACATCCCAATTTGTTGAAGAGTGTCAAATTGAAAAGAAGAAAGAACTCAAAGTCTTCTGAAGAATGGGCGACGACAACGAGAATGAAATATTCTGAAAGAAAACTGAAAAGAAAGTACATTGGATCGAGAAGTCGAGAAAGATCTTCAGAAAGATCAGCGGAGAGGAAAGCATTGAGAAGAGTGAAGATCAACTCGAGTAAAGAAAAGAGAACAAGATATCGATTGAACAGTTCGGAGTTGAGAAAGATCAAAGTACCGATGAAGGCTAAATCTTTCAAGAATCGATCGATTATGGGAAGCTATGAACAGAAAAAGACGGAGTTTGTCTTTAAGCGTAAAAAATATTTCAATGGTTTTTAGACGACATCGGAAACGAGTTTTGCAACGATTGAACAGCCTTGAAAGAATAAATGACATTCGAAGAAAGCATAAGGTTCGAATTTTTGCAGCATAAATGAATAGAATCTTAAGAGATCGACATTTTCTTATCTTATCAAACAAAGTTGTAAATTTCAGGATAATCTGAAGATTCAAAACTATCGCAAGAGACGAGTCAAAAGAGCTATCAAACAAACGGTAATCAAACAAACATTTGCTTCAAAATGTTCAAAGTTTCGAATAATTTAGACAACTTACACCATCAAAGATAAAATGGACCAAAGTCCTTTTGGTATTGTGGCGTCTCATCTCACAAATGCTCTAAGGAAACTATCGGGAGATGAAAGACCAAAAGCGTGAGTAGATTGGACTTTAGTTTAGCTTGAGGTGGAGATTTAGTTGGAGAACCATTGTTTCTGAAGTTGAACAAAAAGGACAAGATATTCGAAATAGACGAAAATTGCGAAAAATGATGAGCAAACGGTTTGAAGCATACCAGAAAGCGGCCAAACAAGAGAATATCGAGATTGATGATCATCGCCCACTTGCTATGAAGGTTAAAAGCTATTAGATTTGACTCTTTTCACTTGCTATGAAGGTTAAAAGCTATTAGATTTGAAAAACACTTTTCTTTCTAGGAGTTGGAAATGGGTGAAGAAGATGAAAAGACTGAGATGCTTCGTTTGGCCGAGAAGAAAATGAAGAACATGACGCTCGATGAACAAATTGGGCAAGCACCCGTGAAGCTTATGAGAGAAGGTGATTTCAAATCGTGTAATTTCTTTTGAACTTTTTTTAGTTGTGAAAATGGGCTTGATGATGAGTGGACAGAACACGACGGATTTTGACAAGAAAAATATCAAAATGCTCTCTCCACGAATTCTCTCAATAATGCAAGAAGATGATGAAGAGAAAAAGGATGATGTAAGTCAGCTCTAATGTAAGTCCGTGACTTCAAACTGTATCTTTCTGGACTTTCTGAACAGCCTAATAATTTCAAACTGTGTTTTTTTCGATTGAATTCATTTCAGATATTCTATTGAATTCATTTCAGATATTCTATTGAATTTATTTCAGATATTCTATTGAATTCATTTCAGATAAATCTACTTTCGCCTGCACTCTTTTCTTTGCATGGAGAAGGCGATAGAATGGAGAAAAAGATGTCCCTTCATAGTGCTCTTGGTGGAGTATCGGGTGATGGTGATCACCTCTTGAATCTCATCATTGAAGCTTCTGGTGTAGGACATTATGTGGACATGATTACGGTAGAAAAGTTATAGAAATAAAAATGTATGAAATTTTCCAGAAAAATAAGCTTGAAGAAGTTTTGGCGAAAGAGGAACCAAGAGGCCCAAATGGGGAGAGAATGTATTGGGATAAAGAGAAAGCAACGAAATATCTTGGTGATCATGAGATGAGAAAGATAGCTTCAATGGAGAGATTGACAACAATGTATACACCTGAGCAGGTTTGGGTGATGATTTTTGTGATTATGATCACCGATGGCTTAGATGCGTGAAATGAAAGAAAGTGGTTTTACGGCGATGACACCTCGACAAGCGGATTTCATCTATGGAGATCGTTCTCCTTTCAATGACACCGTCACACTGCAAAGAATCAAAGGATTATTCAGTAATCTACTATATATAAAGGGACTAAGACGTCTGTCTGTCTGTGCGCACTACTCCTCGGCTTTTTCAAATGATTTATAGTTAGTTTTGCTTTTGAATTTCATGTAGTTGAGCAACATGTTTTTAAATTTTAAAAAACCAAAAGCGCCGACGCGGGCGGGAGTCAAACTCGCGTCATGTGGGCCAAAAACAAGAGCGCCCTCACTGCGCCAGCACGACCGGGTGGCCAGCAAGCATGGACGATTAACGAGGTGATAAAACCGCATAGACGCTTCACGAAGCGATAGAAGCGCATGGCCGAGTCGTTAACGCACATTTCAAATGAGCGGAAGAGAGGGGTCCCGGGTTCGACTCCACTCGTCGCCAATTCGTTTGCTTTTTGCTTCAAAATTTTTCTCCTGCGAAGCTTCTGGTCTTTCGTAAACCAAATCTTTCGTAAATCAAGCCTCACCTGAATAGCTAATATGCTCTCAAAAAGATGCTAATTTAGTTTCTGATATGTTCAACGATGGAGTGGATGATGCGATCTCGGAAACGATTTCTCGAGTAGCCACAGGACACTCGAAATTTGAGGTATTAGGAACGAAAAGGCTTTCTGGATAGTCTAATACTTAAAACAGGCAAATTGACTAAAACAGGTTTACATAGAACAAGCAGATTGACTTATTCCGTTTTGGAAATGGTTTACCAAATCAGGTTCGGCAACACGATATTGTTCTTTCACCGATCATCAATACCCATCTTATCTTGAACCCGGCACTCGCCTCACAACCAATCATTCTTTCTCCTGTAAGTTTTGGGGGGTTTAAATTGAAATTGATAACTTTAGGTCCTTTTCTCTTCACTCATTCTTTCACCGGGTATCTTCGGTCCAGTCATTCTCTCCCCATGGGTCTTTGTGGCTGGAGTCCTTTCTCCTCGTATCCTCTCACCCGTTATCCTTACTCCATTCGCCTTTGTACCCATTATTCTTACTCCATTCGCTATGGATCCGATCATTCTCAGTCCTGGAATCTTCAATCCTATTATTCTTTCGCCACTGCTGATGTCGCCGTTCATCCTATCCCCACAAGTAAGTTTGCATCGAGTTTGCAACAGTTATCCACTTATAGTCCAAGTCAAGCTCAAAAAAGACGATTGGAGGTTAGAACTAAAGTTTAAATTTGAGGTGTGTACCCCTGTGATCCTCTCTCCGATCGCCCTCTCTCCATTCATCCTCACTCCCAATCTAATGTCTCCCCTCATTCTCTCCCCATTTGTTTTAACTCCAATCGTGATGTCTCCAGCTTATGTCGGTGCTCTCATTCTTTCTCCTTATGCTCTTTCCCCAGCAATTGCTTCCTCCGGAGCTGCCGTCTCTGTCATTGCTTCTCCCAGTTTCTTATCGTAAATCAACATTTATTTTGTGGTTCTTTTGTGATATTTTGCTCATATGTATACGTGATATTTTAAAGTGCAATAGTTTTAAATAAAATTAAATGTGTTTCGGGTGTTGGAACATCATTATTTTTTGCAAAATGAATATTTATTGAAACAAATTTACAACAAAATCGACGATTCGTGAAAGAGGATTCTTTTTAAGCTTTTTAAGCGCTTCTTACACCGATGTTCCATTGTTAAGAGGACAGTTTAGGTTTTGAAGTTGATTTTTCTTTTGCTGAGGGACCTAAAGTTGATTTTAGACTTTGAACTCAATTGTGATATAGTTTAATTAATGCAAATTAACTTACCACAGTCCAAATTGGAGATGGCCCATAAAGTGAGAGACAGCGAGTTGAATAAAGCTGAGAGTTCCCAGTTTCAAACCCTGGAAGAGACTCTTGTGAACTATTAAAAAGCCTTGAACATTTGTCTTGATCACAAATTTCGCTAGTTTGAACGACTTATATCATTATTTACCTCCAAGCAAGTAATTAGCACCGACAGCGAGCACCATTTGGCAGTTGACCGGGACGAGAAGAGTCTGTGGAAGATTCTTGCTTCCCTGAACAGTTGAATTTGCTTGTTATTCAATTTCATCAAACTTTAAACACTTCCAAAGGTTTGACATCATATTGGTTGAGAGCTGAATTGTTCATGTGAACGATTTTCCAATGGTTGATTCGCATCTTAGCAACTAAATAGATGAAATGAAAGGTAAATGGGTAAAAGAAAACCCCAATCAAGAGCACAAGCTTTGCGCTCAAAATTTTGTGAGGGCACGATTGGACAATCGCATTTTCCAGGTCCAAGTCCTGAAATCATTATCGGATTGAACATCTACCACGTATCAACTACCTTGTCCAACACCATCATTTCCGCCTCCACGTCCATTTCCAACGCCAGTCCCAGCCACACCACCTGCTTTTATTCTTAATTCTTTTAAAGAATAGGCTCAATTACCATTTCCAGTGCCAGGCACTCCTCCGTTGTTATTGCCAGTTCCCACGCCAGTACCCCCAACTCCTCCATTACCAGGTCCATCACCATTTCCAGTACCTCCTGCTTGCCCCAAAGGCGTACTCAATCCCCAAATGGGTGTTGCGGCAAGACCAATCATAACGAGAGATGAGATACGATAAAACATTTTCTGAAAGATACTGTAAAGTCAAGATTTACGTAAAGTAAACGTAAAATGTATTATTGAAGTGAAGTGAAGCCTGTTCTCACCCTCACTCGCCTCACATTTTATACCCAAAACTGATCCCCAAACGCAACTTATTAAGCAGATTTTGCTTGAAAACCTCTTTTCTCCTCGTTTACCCTATAAATAAAAATAGTGACACGACTTAAAAGTACTCAAAACATCGAATAAATGGACAATATGCTAATTTTAGCTTTTTTTCAAATGGAAAGGAGAAGGTCAAACGTCAATTGCTCAACAAAGGACTCTGTTTTGATCAACTCTCTCGTATTTGTGTTTATGGATGAGCTTTCAGGCTAGACAAGGGTAAAATTAAAAATATTTTGAATGGCAAGTCTGGGAATAAATGAATAAATGCACTATATAACATGAGCTCAAGGGACCAGATCTTCAACTTCATCTCTTCAACAATTTATATCTTAGCGTTCGCTAGCTTATTAAGAATTAATGACTTTCTTAAGTTTTTTTTAGTTTTGATATCCATTTCTCAATCATATAGTCATTAGTTTGTATAAATAAACTTTTTTGTACAGGGTGACCAAGAATTACCGCAACAACTTTTTGGAAGAGTATCTGGGAAATGTCTAATTTATTTCAAAAGTGGCAAGTGTTATACAGAGAATTGTAGGCCTAATTCTCGGCAACATTTATCTACTAAAAACATCCCGATTGGACTTATACAACTCATTTAACAAGCGCTTAAATGAGCGCTAGTCGACATCACTCCGGCGAATCTGTCATTTGGCCACTTTTCTCTATTGAAAATTGTTAAGAAAAGCTTTTCAATATTTCTTTAATGCAAAAATAGCGTTTAATATCACTTAATAACATTAGGAATCACACTTAAATGTTTTGGCTCGACTGGCATAACCAAAATTTAAGTTGATGTCAAGCTCCTTTTGGAGGAGCAGGGAAAATTGAGTATTTTCGATATTCAGTTCATATGTGTATCTCGTTATATCAGCTGTTCTGGCGCTATGAATTTGTTGAAAACAATTTTTTTTGGACAAAATTACCACAAATTTGACTGAGAAAAACTTCAGAATGAAATTTTTTCATGTAGAAAAGTGGCCAAATGACAGATTCGCCGGTGAGATGTCGACTAGCGCTCATTCAAGCGCTTGTTAAATGAGTTGTAGAAGTCGAATCGGGATGTTTTTGGTCGATAAATGTTGCCGAGAATTAGACCTACAATTCTCTGTATAACACTTGCCACTTTTGAAATAAATTAGACATTTCCCAGATACTCTTCCAAAAAGTTGTTGCGGTAATTCTTGGTCACCCTGTATATCGACGTTTATTGATTGATTCAGAAAATGTTCTACCGCATCGCTCTCCTCGTCGTTTTTGTTCTCTTTTCGATCGCCGAAAGTGAGAAACAAATATGTTAAGCATATTGTTTTGAAATAAGCTTTAGGTGCAAAACCAGTCAAATGCAAATGCCCCATCCTGCCGTCACAAAATTTCACTCATAAGGCTTGTGCTCTTGATTGGGGTTTTTTATTTTGTTCACTATGAAATTAGATTGTTTTTTAGTCTCAAAAGTTCGAATCAATTCTTGGAAAGTTGTCAATGTTAAAGGGCAATTGATCAACCGCTATAACGTCGACCATTTGCAAGTGTTCAGGGTATTTTTATTTAGTAATATGGCTTTAATTTTATAGTAATCAAGTCAAGCTTGAGTCTCTTCAACCGCCAGTTTTCAGGGAAGCAAAAACTTGCCAACGACTCTTCTCGTCCCTGTCAATTGTCAAATGGTGCTAGGCATTGGCAGCAACTATCTGCTTGGAGGTGAAGCAATAAAGACACAATTTTATTGATTTTATTGGTTACAGCAAAATCATGCTTACACAAGTAATTCGAACCATTCAGGATACATCTCCGGTACCGCTTCGAAAGCTCAACTCTATTCAACTCGCTGTCTCTCTCTTTATGGTCCATCTCCTGTTTGGACTGTGGTAAAAAAACATTTTTCTAATTAAAATTAGCCTAGTTTTGGTAAGGGTAAAGTATTCTTTAATCAAATTTTCAAATTCCAGGTTCCAGCCGCGAAAAAACTTCAGCTCAAAAACCTCAAATGCCCAAATGCTCCACGAACGAGCCGCCCGTAAGCTCATTAAAAAAATTTTGAATAATTATTGAAGAGCTACAGAAGTCAACACCAATTTTATCTCAATCAGAAGTTTTATTTTCAGTCTTGGACTCCCCTTTGTCCCTCTTTCGTAAACGAAGCTCGTCGAATTACAATTCCAACAGTTTTCCACCAATTCCAACAGTTTTCATTTCTATAAAGAAATGTGTTTGTTTGTATATCGGATTCAATAAATTATTTTGCAACAACTAGTTTTAATTCATCAATCATTTGTTTCTCATCAAGGGTTCCACAAATGTTTACAAAGAATGGAGTTCTTTGAAAACACATGTAAATGGAAAATCGTCCGTTTTTTGTGAAATTGCGATGGAGTGGATGATTCATTTTGAATAGGCGAAGAAAATAGATGTGAGGAGGGAAAAGAAAAGGAAGGAAGCCCCCACTTTGCCTATCGATCAGCAAAGAGCCGTCAATTGACCTTTTTGGTCTTTGTTTTACCATAGATTTTAAATTTTTGAACAACACTATGATTGATCGTTGTCTTTTATCTATTCGCATTCTCAGACTGTCCCATGTACAATTACATGGTGACCAATTTTTGCTCTAAAACTGGCGACCAGTTACTATCCAAAATTATCCCATCATTTGTTCAACAGCTTTTGTTAATATGCTCGCCAAGTTTCACTTAAATTCTCTTATCTAGTTCCCTGGGGAGGGAGTCAACACCTCCGCCACTAAAGTGGTGGGGTACGGGGGGTTCCTCCGTTTTCAATTTGAATCATAATATACCACCTACACCTACTTAGTCCAGCTCTTAGCCATCCCGTGCTTTTAGGGGATGCCCACTGCTCACCACGCGGAGGTGGCTGGACGCCGAGCAGCGCCCTCCCACCGGGCCTAATGGTCGGCCAGGTGGGAGGGGGGCCTATGGGGAGGGGGATCTATTGCGGGGATCCTTCCTCCAGGGCCTAATGGTCGGCCCAGGGACGAGGGAATGCAGGGATGCCAAAGACATCGCCACACAGCCAGTTGGCCACTTCACGGGTCCTGTTCCGTGTGGTTTTGCGCTTAAATAGCGTCGACACGGTGAGGACCAAAATGGCCAGCACCCTCTCACGTACCGAAGTTTTGCGCCGAATGGGCGGTACAGTTCAAAATAGACTGCCGCCCTCGGATACGGCCAGTGTTACCCGGACCGGAACAGATCGCCGATGGCGAGGGGAAAAGGCCCTTCTTGTGTCAAGGTCCTGTGCCAGGCGGCGAGCGATTACGTGGCTGCACAAAGAACATCTCGTGGTCTCTGTACAAAGGCATTTCTTTTGTTCTGTAAACATTGCTCAGATGAGTTATGAAGCCAAAAGTTTGTAGCCAGGGGTTTTCGGGGTTTGGGAAGTGATTGGCAGGGTTCGTTTGTTGTATCTCTAAGCAAAATCTCTCATTTGTGCTGATCTTGAGCCATTTTTCCGGTATTTTGCCTACAATTATTTATCGCCGGTGTATAACCCATAAGAACTATTAGAACTAATCAATTCATTTTCAAGGGCAACAATGTCGGACGATCTTAGTTCGGATGCTCGCCCCTTCAAACCAAATCAACAAATTACTCGTCGAGATCTTGGTGGTGAAGATCCCCACAAGATGAGAAAACTTGACAATAAACTGGTACGGTTTATAAAATGGTCAAAATAACAGTTAGCTGTCTCTATTGATCCTTATTTAGCTCTAGAAATCTCAAATGTTTAACTTTTAGGCATTACGCGCTCAACGCAAACAGATTGAATTGTTGATGAAGCTCCCCTTGAAGAAAGAAAAGCAAAAGAAGAAAAGAGCCGAGAAAAAAGTTTTTGTCTCGTCTGTTTTCTCAGTAAGGCTAAATGCTAACAAGCAACCAAGTGCTTGTAAGCACTTCCAATATACAATTTTGATTTCATTTATTACAATTCTTAAGCTCTTTATTAAAGTCTTTTCATCTTAACACGTCCATGATACAAAACAAAAATTACAGAAGCGATTACGCGAAAAAGTCCAATTGGATCGAGAGATTGACAATGAATTGTTCTTTGGAATGCTTAATCTTGAGTGAGTTCATTTGTAGATATGAAATACACAACAATCATGTTTTGTTGAACTGTTTCGAATGTTTTAGGGAGAAGTTGAGGCTTAGGAAACTTTTCGAACTTGAGGAAGAAGACGTCGAGGAAAAGAAACCGGAAATTTTCGGGAATTGGGATGCACTTCCGGATGAAATTGTGAAGAAGATTTTGAAGATGTCTATTGATTTTCCCCAAGCAACAGGGCAACTACTAGGTTGGTGCAAATGAAATTTCGTTTTTTTACAAACATTAAAGTCATCCAAAATTTTTTTTGATAACAATTTATTTAAAACAATAAGCACCATTATTATCTATGAAATCCCTCCAACGTTGCTACAGATTGCGGATCCCCTTCTCAAAGAACGTTTGATTCTGTGATGCAAAGTAGTTGGCCACCCAATTTTCGACTTCTTTTGCATTCTTAAACTGGCAATTCTCAAGGGAATGTTGCATCGATCTGAAAAGGTGAAAATCGGAGGGTGCTAAGTCTGGACTATACGGCGCATGTGGTAAGACCTTCCATCCTAGCTTCTCTAGTTCCTTACAAGAGGTTTTTGCCGTGTGAGCTGGAGCATTATCACGGAGAAAGTTGATAGTTGAGGGATTTAGGCCTTTTTCACGCAAAATTTCGTCAACCTTCTTGAGTTGTTGAATAAAATAAGATGAATCGACTGTTTTTCCGGGCTCTAATAATTCAAAATGAACAAGTCCATTGATATTCCACCAGCAAGACAACATCACTTTGCGCCCATGATAATCCGGCTTTGGAGTTGGAATTGGCGCTTGACCTTTGCTCAGCCATTGTCTTTTTCGAGAAGTATTATCAAAGTGAATCCACTTCTCATCCATCGTCAAGATATTCTCAAAAAAAATGGCTTCTTTTCGACTTCTAGAGCAAGATATGGCTGATCGGAACGCGTGCTCCCAGATTCTCAACACTCAATTGATGTGGAACCCATTGTCCATTACGATTTGTCTTTCCAATTATTTCCAAATGGCGTACAATTGTTGAATTGGAGATGTTTGGCAAGTTCTCGTGTTGTTTGCATTGGATCAGCTTCAATTCATTGTTGTCGATGGCTGTGGCACGATGTCCATGCGATTCGTCTTCAAGGGATTCATTACCATCTCGGAATTGGGCAAACCAGAGCTGGCATGATCTTTCGGTGATAACCTGTTCTCCAAAGGCGGAACAGAGATCACGATGTGAATCAGCAGCGTTTTTGCCCATTTTGAAGTCATAGGGAAGACACGTGCGCAGAACATACTTTTGATCCACCATGATCTAAAGCAAAAATCAATTAAAAAGTGAAAGCTCTGACTTTGAAAAAATGCGAAAATAAAGTAAATATCCAAGAGTACAAATGCACAAAAGAACATCAAATAAGCTCTTCAGATTAAAAAAATAAGAACATTATATCGACCGAAATTTCTTTTGCACCAACCTAATATATCCTAGCTATGGTGAGTTTGAGCATAAGTTATGGATTCATTTTCAAAAAGATTAACTTGTACTGCATATAAACGTGCTATTCAATTCACTATTAAGAGACTTAAATTGAAACAAAATTAAAATGCTGATTCGTAATTTTCAGATGCTCCTCCGAAGCTTAAGCGTTACCGTAGAAGAAACTACTTGACGCGTCACCGAGAAGCTTTGGTCAATAAGCTTTAGTTCTACATAAAATAAGCTTTCACTTTAGGAATCCACCAAACTGAGTGGAGTTTCTCGTCGCTTTTATCACATCGTCAACAATCCGGACAACAAGTTTCCAAGATTCCCAGTGGGCATGAAAATTTGCGTAAGTTTTTACAAGTGATTTACAAGATTTACAAGGTTTTTACAAGTTTGTAAGTGATTTGAAAGTTTTAGAGTCCGATCGAAGGTAGAACTTTTGCTCCAGAAAGATATCAAGTCTACATCTATGGTAAAAGAAAAGCAAAATCTTTTATGCTTTCGATTTTAGGTGGTCCTGGAATGAAAAATCCATGTCAAATGGTGGCCGATGAGGATTTGTTGAATTGTTATCGGTGAGAGAATAGTTCCCAAAAGATTCTCTCTGACCAAAACTGATTTTACCAATTACGCATTATTTAGTCCATGTCGTCTTGAGAATCTTCTGATAATTGGAAGAGTGACACTCAATCAAAGATTGATGAATGCGTTACTCGAAATGGATATCTCTATGGTTCGCATAAATGTTCATGCATTATATATATAGATACTTTATTCAGGACCTGAGATAACGCTAGATTTAAGATTAAAACACATGAACAATCCGGATAACAAGTTTCCAAGATTCCCAGTGGGCATGAAAATCTGCGTAACACGAAAAGGGCCGATAAAAAGCAACACGATATAATACATGTAATATATGGGTAGCACAGATAACGTCAAGGATCCACTAGAGCTTCAAGATCAAGATCATCTACAGATAATTTAAAGGTTTCGAGACTATTGGACTCTCTCAAAACTCTGGGAGTCGATTGCAAATTCCAAATTAAAGTAGCCCACCAAATAAAAAGCATATGAAATCGAGTTTATCAAAGATTTCAGGTTAAAACAATCAAATTTCTCGACATTATGGGCATCGAACTGCAAGATCCAGTTGGAAAAATCAAATCCTTCCTCAAAAATGTAAGAAATTTATATCATAAAACCAGTGAATTTAGATTTTTCTGTGTTTGACCCTAACAATTATTCATTTAAGGCCATGTCTCTGAAGCAATTCGAGTTCTCGGGTTTTAGCTCTAATCTGGAGATCTATTCGATTCTCTTGCAGTTGAAGGGTTACATTGAGAACCGCGGAATCGAATGGTCAGCTTTAAAATTTAGTTCAACTCCTTTTTTCGTGTTTATTAAAGTGAAACCTAAATTTTAGCACTCCGAAGCACTATTCAAGGGAAGAAATGCTCAAATATCGAAAGGAAAATAAGCAGTGAGTTTGAAAATATAAAAATAAAGTTCTGATAGTTAGCTTAAGGTAAAAATTAGTGAATAGAAAAAGTAAAATGCTATATTTTTAGTCACGCTGCTTTGCGTGAGGAGGGAAGAAAGCACTTGAGAGCGGTGAGTTCTTCATGTTCATGCTACGAATCATATGCTTCTGCTTTTGGTTTGAGGATAAGCTTAGCTAAAGTAGCTAAAGTAGCTCAAGATTATCTTCAGACAGGATTTCACAAGAGCTCCTTGCAAAATTATTTGCTGAAATTAAACAATTTTAGTGTTGCTACGATCTGAAGCCAAAGAGAAAAGTTTCAAGATTCAAATTCAAAAGAGACAAATTGTAATCGTTTTGTGAACTTATTCTAATGTTTTTATTCATAAATTTCTCTCGATTTGTTGTAGTTTTCTTTTAGTTTTCTTTTTTATTCCCGTTCTTTTCTTTTAGAATAAAGCTTTGGTTGTTATGTAGCAAAAATTGACTTGCACTTTAAAAAGTTTACAGTACGGTTTTTCTTAAATAAAGTAATAAGCAAAGTAAGTTGAATCGAAGCAATCAAGTACTTTGAAGTCAAGCGCTGATCTGAAGTGATTAAAGATCAAATTCGAAAAGATTTTACAATCGACTTCACTTTCCTGATAATGGCCTCATTTGCGAAGAGATTTTGTTCGAAAAATGCTGAAACTTGTTGCTTTATTTGCTATTATTTTAATTGGAAGTAAGAACTTAACAATAAAAATGGAATGATAGATTAAATCTTTAGTTGATACACAATTTCTGAATCCTTGTGTACCGAAGTATTATGAGCCAAATTATGAGGAACCGTCGATGGTTTGTGTGTGCAATGCATCGTATTGTGATGAGGTAAGCGAACAAATTGATTTGAACAATTAAATGAAAAATTCTCATGCTTTAAGATCATCTAGATCTTTGCAGATAGCTTCTCCGGGTGTTCTTGGAGCAAATGAGGCGCAAATGTACACAACGAATTCGGCCGGGAAACGAATGTGGAGAGAGGCTATTTTATTCGAAAACACTCAACGTTTGATAAATAGTAATAAGAATAAAATATCAGTTTTAGAGTATGACTATGTGATTACATTGGATCCAACTCAACAAGCTCAAGTAGGACTTATATTGCTTTGAAAATGTTTTATTTCATGCTAGCAAATCTTTGGCTTTGGCGGCACCTTCACAGATGCTGTTGGGATCAATTTGTTGAGCCTCAATGCTTACGCTAGACAACAATTGATCAACACTTTATTTTCAGTGAAAGGTTAAGAGAACTTTCTTTGCATACATATTCTAAAATATCATATTTGAAAAACGATCGTCACTTTCGTGCGTCTGTAACTCCCTTGTCTTTGAGTTTAAACTATTAGTGTTATACATTTTCTGAAAGCTCTTTTCAAGGGGTACACAATAGTAATATTAATATTTAGAAATACGGTAAAGACAATGGAGTTACAGACGCGCGAAAGTGCGAAAGTGTTTTTTCAAATATGATATTTCATTGTCCAGTAGTGTATGTTCAAAGTTTAGGTAGCGAATATACTTTGGCTAAAGTGTCAATTGGGAGCAATGCCTTTTCAACAAGAGTTTACTCGAACAATGACAATGATGGAGACTTCAACAACTCGAAGTTTTCGTTGACAGCCGAAGATCGTCAATATAAGGTGCTAAAGTAGAACAAATATTGTATCTAGAAGATTTCCAGATTCCTTTCATCCTCCAAGCAATGGCTGCTACAAATGAGGGGAATTTGACGGTTGTCGCTTCCCCTTATGCTCCTCCAGCTTGGATGAAATCAAATGGCAAAGCACAGGTAAGGGAATTGAAATTGTCTTTTGAGTCAAGCTATAACAAAGTCTAGGGTGGTGTCCCAATGAAAAATCCATACATGGGCGAATATTATGGAGCCTATGCTGACTATCTTATCAAGTAAGTTGAGTCATTGGACTCTCTCAAAACTCTGGGAAGTCGATAAATGCTTTTGAAAAATCTATATTATATTCAAATCAATTTTCAGGTTCATTCAGTACTACAAAGCTGAAGGAATTCCAATTTGGGGGCTAACAATTGGAGCAAGACCCTATGAGACTGGAAGTGATAAGAACTACCCGACTCAGACGTTGAGCTTCAATGCAACAGTACAAAGGTATGTTGAGTATATGTTTATAAATTCAGACAATTTTAGGGACTTTATCAAAACTTTTATGGGAATCTATATGGAAAGATCGAATGCTGCTAAAGATACAAAATTGATGATTATCGATGATGGAAGAGGATTATTGCAAGATTGGGGAGCAACGGTTGAGTAGAAAATAAATTAAACTTATTCTTTGTATTAGACATGGTTTTAGATCGGGATTTTTTTGGATCTGACCTAAAAATTCGCTTTTCGGATCGGATCTGATCCGAATTTTCTTTTTCGGATCGGATGAAGTCGCGATCTGAAACCATGTCTACTGTGTATGATAACAGATTAACAATCAGCGGAAACGCTCAGCTCGTTCGCGTGTTCCGCTGAGGAGGCGGGGGAACCCATTCAAATGGCTGAAATTACCATAACCCATGTTAAACCAGCCCCCTTTTTAAAAATGGACCTAAAAGTCAGATTCCACATAGCTGAAAACCCCTGGGAGCAAAATATCGCGCGTAAAAGCTGAATACTTTGCTTTTTAACCGATAGAGCAAACGATAGAGCAAAGCAAGTAATTACGGAGTGTCGCATTTGCGCACAGACAAACAGACGGGCAGACAGACGTCTCTTCTGTTTTATATAGTAGATAGGCTTGCTTCCAAATCAAATTATCTATGCATAGCAAAATCTCAAGCGCTCAATTTCAGATCCTTGATGATGATATGGTCAACTTGTATACGGCTGGGTTTGCTATTCAGGTAAATAGTTTCGAATTCGTCCAAATTGTTGCAAACGTTTCCAGCAATACGGAGACGAGGAGTCAGCGCCGGCTATGACATCGATTGTCCACACTCAATGGCGGGACAAGTTCTTTTTGTACACTGAAGTGGGTTTAGGGTTGGCTACACGTATGCCCAACCAATAGAGATTTGATTGAAGTATAAACAGCTTTAGGCTGCAACAGGATGGGATCCCTATGATTATCCGGGAGTGAAAATGGGGTGGTGGAATCGAGCCGATCGGTACATGATGTCGTTGATTGAGGTTTTGTTCTTCAATTTCACACCAAGTTAAGCAACAAAATCTGTTACAGAATATTTCCCAATGGGTCTCCGGCTGGATTGACTACAATCTTGTTCTTGATGTGAACGGAGGACCTAGCTGGGCGAATGTCTCTTATGACGCACCAATTATTGTCAATTCGACGGCGCAAGAATTCTATAAACAACCCACTTACTATGCGTTAGCACATTTCAGGTTTTAATGGTTACTGAATTAAGAGGTTGAATCCAATCTTTAGTAAATTTATCAGACCAGGAGCGACAAGAATTGAGCTCACCAATAACGATGACATAGTGGAAGTGAGTGAATTTGTTGTGATTTTGTTTGCTCAAGGTTTGACTGATCAATAAGCTATTATCAGGCAAATTATATTGATGAATAAGTCTTTCCTTTTCATACTCCCGTTGAAAAAGGTTTTACGGAAGCATGAAAAGAAACGAAAAGACTTATTCACCAACCTAAAAATCATACAATCAACAACGTTTTTCCACTATAAAACCAAAAATCAAAGTACTCATTTGCGAAATTTTCAGATTGAATCAGTTGCAGTAATCAATCCATGGGGTCAACGTGTACTCATTCTGTTGAATAGTGGCTTATCATGGGTTTACAATGTAACAATTGTTGACACAGCTCGACCCAGTATCTTTTATTTTATTAAACTCTATGAAAACCACTATTTAGACCAATTCTTGAACATTCAAATGGGGCCACGAGAGTTCAGGACGATTCTCTGGGATGCGCCAAATCATAACAAAGAAAAATGAATTCTCGAAAATAAAGAAATTTCGAATTTCGAGACTTTTTGAACGTTTGTTTATGTCTCCCGCTCTATCAAAAGCAAATCGATTTTGATTGAAAACATCTGGAAACCCTAAAAATAGTCAGAGGGCTCAAAATGCCGAGTCATTCTCAATGGATAAACATTTATAAAAAGAATTCTTAGAATTTTATATTCTTAAAATAGGAAGACCTTTTAGTCTATTTAAAAATTTTTCAAAACCTTTTGAAGCTTTGATTTTGATACATTCAATTTTTGCAATCCAATTTAGCTAAACCAATCTGGTTCGACTTTCAGGCTTAATTTAATTCCCATTGCAAACTTTTTCCCTGAATGTTTTTGGTTTTTACGCAAAAGAGCGAGTGGGCGAAAATCGATTCCTTCCACTTTTTGAGGATGAAAAAAACAACTGAAGTCTCAAAAGAGAACGAAGAAATGAGAGAAAAAGAAAAGGCGAACGGTGAAAGGCTTTTTTTTTGACTAGGAAAAGAGAAGATAGAGTGCAAGCGAGAGTGGATCTCTTTTCCTTTTCTTATCGCAAAATAAATGTCCCTTTCTCCTCTGCATCTCTTTCATTTTCTACTCTCTTTAGTGCCAAAAGGCCAAAAGGCCAAGCGAAAGGCTCCGTGAGGAATACTGGCACAAATATCCGCACTTCACTTCTATTTTAAAGCTAATTAACCGTTGTATCCCTATCTCAAACATAGCCTATTCTGGTGCGACTTCTCAGAAAAATTTGTGGTCTTTATTTGTGATAACTCGTGATCTTGATCTTTAGATTATCTTCTACAGATCTTGGCCGTTTAAGCCAGCTTTTTCTTTCTGTAATGCAAGCTAAACCTTACTCCCAAATCATTTAAACTTTACATCACTTTAGTGTTGACTATGGTGTAAAAGTAAACGAAATTCTTCTAGAAAATGACTTGGTGTTGGCGTCCAGAACGCATCGTCGATCGCGAGCCCCTTCCCACCGATTATCGATGTTGTTGTGGATGTTGCACATCAAAGGTGGATGTTGTGGATGTTGCATATCGATGTTGCACATACATTTTCATCAAATTATAAAACAAAGACCCAACTTTTTAAAGCAGCAAAAAGAAACTTTATGGTTTTAGTGCGGATTCACTTTCATCACCATTGTCAATCTGGCCATTGTTGCTTTGATCGGTTTGCTACTTCTACCCGGTTTGCTCTTGGGTGGTCCGATTGTATGGGTGAGTTATAAATCCTTTACGCTTGCCTATTCTTAGAGTAACTTTTAAAAGATCGGTTCAATAATGGAGAAGTGACAAAAAGCAAAGCACTAGATTTCTCATATTAGGCTTCCAGAAAGTCTTTTCTTTCCTTTTCGTACTTCCGTTTAAAGCCAACAAATGCACCAATTAAACTACGGTTTTTTTCATCAGAAAGCCAAATTTTTTTCTGCAAACTAACATTAAAACGAGTTTAAAATGTCTTATTTCTGGATTTCTTTGGGAGCATGAAGCCGGGTAGTCAAGAAGGGCGACGGCTCGATGATGCTATTTAGAAATTTACCTAAGGAAACCTATCTTCGTGTCAATAGATAAAAGATGGAGCACAAAAAGTTAGGTGTCTGGCCAAATTTTCAGAGAAATTCATTCAGCCAGTTTCTTCGTAGAGTTTTTTATAGATTTTTACGAAAAACACGTTTTTATTAGGTTGTCCAGTTATGAATGCGCGTTTTTACTATTTTGTAAATTTCTCAAGATATCGAACAGATTTATATGAGTGTTATATATCATTCGAAAGCTGAAGATCTCCTCTACATTTTGGAATAAAAAGTATTTGAATTCATTCAACTTTTTGGGAAATTGACTGCACAAAGGGAGTGGTCGTTTTCGAAAAAACCCATTCCAGCTTAGCTATTCCTCAGGTTTTATGGTGTAAAATAACCGCCCAGAAAAGACGCTCTGAAATTGTTATATTTTAAAAAAAGTTGTATTGATATATCTATTGGCCAAACATCGAACGGTTAACTCAATTTGAGCGGAGCCAAAACTTGATCCAAAGGCATCCTTCCATTTTTTTTGGCCACCTCTTCTTCTGTGCAGTCAATTTGCCCAAAAGCTGAACAAATTCAAAAACTTTTTATATCAAAATGTAGAGGAGATCTTCAGCTTTCGAATAATACTCATATATATATTTTTCTTGATTTCGGTATCTTGAGAAAATCTTGAGAAATTTACAAAATAGTGAAAAACGCGCATTCATAACTGGACAACCCAATAGATCGTCGAAAACGCGGTTTTCGTAAAAAGCTATAAAAGCTTCTACGAAGAAATTGACTGAATGAATTTCTCTGAAAGCTTGGCTATGTACATAACTTTTTGAGCTCTATCTTTTATCTATTGACGCAAAGATAGGTTTGCTTCGAATTTGCTTGAAATTGAACCCAAATTGACTTTAAAAAAAAGATGGGAAATTGAACAATTAACACATTTTATATAGAGCAAACCATAGGTTAATTAATGAATTTGCTATGAAAAAGAACGAAAAGACTTTCTGGACAGCCTAATAGTTTTGTTTGATGTAAAGTTTACAAGCAAAAAAAAAAGTGTTAAATTTCAATAAATTTATAGATAATCTTCGCCATCCCAATCGCTCTGATATTTTTGTGGTTGTATCCTTCCGTGCAAGCCATTCGAACCGAGAAACCAGTCTACATGCAAATCGTCTGGATTGCAAATGTAGATTTTAAAAAGTCAAAATCAATATTTCGCAATAATGCGTCGAAGCGAGTACCTAATTATAGCTGATCATCACTTCTCTCGGCTTTTTGTACTTGATCGTCCTGGCGATCGCTTCTCTGATTACAATGAGGTAAATCTTGAATAAGATTTGAATAGTAAGTAAGTGAGATGCTTGTTACTATTTTTAATGTAATTTGCAACTATTTTAATGCAATCTAAAAACTTCAGCACTGCGACAGATGACCGGGAAAGAGAGCAAGCCGCCACCCTTTTCGCCAGTAAGCTTTCTCAATGTTTGGTTTGTTTGGCTTGTTTTGATTAAAGCACTAGTCATAAAATGAGAACAATACTTAACAATAAGCTTATTAAGGAGTGATTATCCGAGTTGTGTTCGATCTCTTGTGGACTATCTGGGGTCTCTGTCTGATCTACTCGTTCTACTCATATCTCAGGTTTGGACTGAAAAATAGATTAAAACGACACCGCCTAAGCAGATTAACCTCAATCGATTAACTTCTAGGGATCGCCAGTTGTGGTTGGAGGGTCGTGGAACCGACATGCCAAAAGTGCCTCATCCATATCATATGGAAAGTGCTCCAATGTATGAGCCTTAAAAAAAGGACGAATGCCATAATCAGTTATCATTTTTCAATGTATTATATTTGTGAATTGCTTTTGCTTGCCTGTTTTTCTGTCATACTCTCTGATGTTACTTATGGTCCTATATATCTAACAGCTTGTACCTCAACGGTTAAACACAAGCTTTACTAATTTATCATTTGATTCCTAAGATATGTATCATTGTATTGATGTGTATGTTATGTCCGATTTAGATTTCCTTTTGATTTAGACTCATCTAAATCGGACCTTCAATTTAGTTTCAGTTGTTGCTTTACATTTTCCAGAAGTTTTCAGAATACTTTTTCGATAAGTTGTGAACCGCAAACAAGTTGATTTTCTTGAAACAAAAGTTGAAAACAAAAAATGCAAAAACAACAAAATTTGAACAAAAATAAAATAAAATTAGACTGCAACAAGGAAAATTAACAAAGACAGGGGAGAGTTAAAAAATTAGTATTTAATTGCATCATGCCGGTTTCATTTTTTTGAGTAACCTGAGTTTTTGAGTAAATGACAAAAAACCGCATATCTTGTGTTCATATGTTCTATCTAAATATGCTATTTTGTTACCTTTCCAGGCGTGCAATCGGTAAGTACCAAGACAAGTTTAAAAACCAACAAAATCATGATTAGTTTTTACAACTTAGACTGTGATGACATCGCGAGTTGCAAAGGATTTTTCTTGCAGGCACATCGATTTGTTGAGCATCCCCCAGTACTTAGACAATGTTGTACCCTAACCAAATAAAAATTAGTATCAACAATAACAAAAAACACTACCTTGTTCTTCTGGCGAATAGCCACTAAAAAGTTACCTAACTCTGGCAGCCTAAAAATTGGAGAAATATTGAGGAAATCGGTGCGCCTTCATCCTATTTCGCGCCCCAAATCATTTATTGTTTTGTAGCTTATTAGCTGAGTATCTTGGGTTAAAGCCTATATAAGGTAACTGTTATTCATTTGGTTTGGTTCTCTTTCATTTTCTTTCTGCTTTCCTCTCATTGTGTGAAAGTTGTGTCCTATCATTCTTTATCGGCTATTGGAGGGAAAAGGAGTAAACTCATTTCCCCCCGTAACGTCTGTTTCGTTTCTCGTTGCAAATGTTCACTCAATAATTTCACAAAAACTTCTTAGTTACGTGCAATTTTTGTCCAGATCTCTCTCTTACGATGTTCTTGCCTTTTGTGAGACCTGGCTGACTGAAAACACTACATCTTCTATCTTAGACCCCGCCTCTAACTATTCCATAATTCGTTGTGACCGTATCTTTAATGATAACAAAGTTCGAGTGGTGGTGTTATCCTATTCATTCGCCGTTCTTATAACTTTATCCCTGTTACTAGTCAATCAGTCTCAGGTTGCGAGATAATCATTGTTGATATATTCGCTCATTCAGATTCCCCCTCGCGTATCTTTATTGTTTATCGTCCCCCACATGTTAACAACCAGGGTTCTTTCCATCTTTTTACATTCCTTGAAGATTACTTGCTACCAAATCATCCAAATTTCCTGCTTGGCGATTTTAATTTTCCTTTAACTGTTTCTCTAGGACTTTTATCTAATTGATCGCATTTTCCACATTTAGAAAACTTCCTGTCAGCCAACAGCTTAGAAATTTTAAACAAATTCCCTACTTTCAGGAAAATTTCGCATATTTTAGACCTAGTTTTAACTGATTCTCCTCATTTAATTTCAGCTATTTCACCATGTCCTCCCATTGGTGGTGCCGTCTATGTCTTTTAATTTAATTTGTCTTTTCGTCGTCTATGTCTTTTAATTTAATTCTGCATCATTTTACCTCTCTAAAAGGACCGGATGATGGTAACCGTGCCTTTTGGAGAGGTAATTTCGGTGCTGTCTGTCTTTCTTTAGCGCTCTTCAATGCAAGGTTTCTTCCCCGATTAGAGATGGACATCAAGGAGTGTTATGCTGACTTCTTTGAAGAGATGAAATCGCTGTTGGACGAAAATGTACCTATTTCAACCAGGTTTACCTTTTCTTATCCCAGTCACATATCTCGAGCTAGGCAAAGGTTAGAAACAGCTTGGCGTTATCGCGATTCCCCCATTACGCATATCTAGAAAACAAGCTAACTAAGTTTGTCAAGAATATTGAGGCCAATATTGAACGGAAATCCGTTTTTAGTCCTAGTCCCAAGGCTTTTTGCTCATACGTCTATTCTAAGATTAACCCAAACCACGATTCCTCTATTAAATGTATATTTGACCCCCTTCGCAACTCGTTGATTTTCGAAAATCACAAAATTGCTAATTCCTTTGCTCAATATTTCTCCAGCGTTTTTGTAGTTGACGATGGTAGTTGCATCCCTGTTCTTCCCGCCCCAGCACATACTTGCGCAGCCCTAATCGTCACACCAAGACTTGTCGAAACAGCAATTAGTAAGCTTAGCAATAAGATTTCTTACACCCCAGACGGAATTCCCTCTTTTGTTATACGGAAAACTAAGTTTCAAATATCATCACTACTTGCTAAACTTTTTAATCTGTCACTTCTAACGGCTAAGATCCCTAAATTTTGGAAAGACTCAACAATTTCGCCACTTTTTAAGAAAAGAGAGCGGAACGCGCTTGCAAATTATAGACCCATCGCGCTCACCTCCTCTATTTGTAAAGTCTTAGAAATAATTATTCGCGACCACATTATTCATTATCTAAATGAACATAATCCAATTGATAAAAATCAATTCGGCTTTCTTAAAAACCCCTCTACCTCCGACCAGCTAGCTCTTGTGCGCATGACTGGCTTCTAGCTAAAGCCAAAAACGATCAAACTAGCTGCGTTTTCATTGATTTTTCCAAAGCATTCGATCCTGTTAATCATAGATTTTTAATCGCCAAACTAAATTCACTAGGTCTTCCCATATCCATCACTAATTGGATTGCAAATTGGCTTACCGAAAGGACTTTTCACGTCCGCTTAGGCTCTACCTTTTCGAATGACTTCCCCATTAGTAGCGGAGTGCCCCAAGGGAGCGTTCTTGGTCCTCTTCTTTTCCTTATCTATATTAATGACATTAACAGTTCGACCTCCCTAGGCACAAAAGTCCGACTCTACGCCGATGACCTTAAAATTTATAGGGTACTTCGTCCCAGAGCCCCATCCCTGATTTTATCCTTCTCCAGAAGGATCTTGATTCGATCCTTCTGTGGAGTAAATTGAAACTTAACATTGTATCGGACAAATGTAGACACGTTACATTTGGTGCATTACATATCCCTTTAAATCTACACTACAATTACCACAGGGATTGGCCGATGATCCTGTAAAAGACCTTGGTATACTGTTAGTTCCCTCTTTAAAATTTAATCCTCACGTAAATTACATTTCAAAAAAAGCTTCTAGAATTTCTAACATAATACTTCGCGCCATTTGTTTCCCTAAAATCGCGACTTATCGCAGGGCTTTTATAACCTATTGCCGGCCTTTGCTCGAGTATGCCACCATCGTATGGTCACCTTCCATTAAGAAACTTATTACCCTGGTTGAAAATATCCAACGGCGTTTCACTAAAAAAGCATACATTCGTTGTTTCCCATCTTCTCTTATTCTAAATTATGGGACTATACTTATAGTTTTTGATTTAAAACCCCTTTTATATAGCCGTATTTACTTTGATCTTATTTTTTGCTATAAAATTCTTTTCCACCCTAAGTCGCATCCTAAATTTCAAAGCCTCTTGAAAATTGTAGAAATTTATAGAAGTTCACGTAGTCATCCTTATCAAATTTCGGTCGGTTCTCATCCCCATCATCTTTTCCTTTATCATTCTTTTGTGAACCGTATTAGTAGGGTTTGGAATAAGCTCCCGTCTGGCATCTTCTCGTCTGTAGGACAATAGTATCTGTAAGTATCTGTAAACGAATTAGATCTTATTGCCATGTCAAATCTGCCCTATATTTAATCTTTTTTTGTATCTGTGTTTCCTAACTGTACTCTTAATGTACTATCTTTAGTTTTCTCTCTTTTTTTGTTGAAAGTATTGTAGCAATATGTTATATGCAGCCATGATTATCTGATTCGCTTCTATTCGCCCATGAATAAAAACAGCCTATTCTGGTGCGACTTTTCAGAAAAATTTGTGGTCTTTATTTGTGATAACCCGTGATCTTGATTTTTAGATTATCTTCTACAGATCGTTTAAGCCAGCTTTTTCTTTCTGTAATGCAAGCTAAACCTTACTCCCAAATGATTTAAACCTTACATTTTTTTCGTGTTGACTATGGTGTAAAAGTAAACGAAATTCTTCTAGCAAATGACCTGGTGTTGGCGTCCAGAACGCATCGTCGATCGCGAGCCCCTTCCCACCGACTATCGATGTTGTTTTGGATGTTGCACATCAAAGGTTACAAATTTGCATTCATCAAATTATAGAACAAAGATCCCACTTTTTAAAGCAGCAAAAATAAACTTTATGGTTTTAGAGCGTATTCACTTTCATCACCCTTGTCAATCTGGCCATTGTTGCTTTGATCGGTTTGCTACTTCTACCCTTTTTGCTCTTGGGTGGTCCGATTGTATGGGTGAGTTATAAATCCTTTAGGCTTGCCTATTCTTAGAGTAACTCTTAGATAGGTTCAATAATGGAGAAGTGACAAAAAGCAAAGCACTAGATTTCTCATATTAGGCTTCTAGAAAGTCTTTTCTTTCCTTTTCGTACTTCCGTTTAAAGCCAACAAATGCACCAATCGAACTACGGCTTTTTGATTAGAAAGGCAAATTTTTTTTCTGCAAAATAACATTAAAACGAGTTTAAAATGTCTGAATTTCTTTGGGAGCATGAAGCCGGGTAGTCAAAAAGGGCGACGGCTCGATGATGCTATTTAGAAATTTACCTAAGGAAACCTATCTTCGTGTCAATAGATAAAAGATGGAGCACAAAAAGTTAGGTGTCTGGCCAAATTTTCAGAGAAATTCATTCAGCCAGTTTCTTCGTAGAGTTTTTTATAGATTTTTACGAAAAACACGTTTT